TTCCGAAAAGAAAGTAGGCATTTCCGGTATTCCGAAAGACTACAGCATCAATTAATATATATATGCGCAATAAGGGAATGGTCATTATTTATCAGCTGAGGGGGTCGGTTCAAATTTTTCACATTAAAAGGTTTTGTTGGCAACCCCCCCATGATTCTTATGAACCACATAATGACCCCCCCCCCTGAGAACATAGTTTCAAAAGTTTGACCCCCTCCCCCCTACCAAACAAAAATCTCTATCGATTAACAGTTGGGAGAAGATGATGACTGCAAGCTACAATTTAAAAAGTTGCAGGAATTGACTTGAAAAATAGCTATGAGAAGTGTGTGGACATTGACACTATCCGTAACAGAATACGGCATAAAGGGGTTTTCCTTGATTGCAGTACTCATTTTCTTTGATTTTGAACTGATATTTCATAATACATTCTACACTATCATTCTGTTATTTTATATAACATGTATAAGTAGCTTGAACTAATTAATTTGATAAAGATAATTTACTTTGTCTGGTTAGCAGTCATTAGTAAGTGATATTCTGTAAATATTATAATGCCTTGATGTTTCATCATGACCTTCCATATTCTTTATTTTGAAGCTGATGCAACTGATTTTAGAAAACATTTTTCAGTTGTATTCTTCTTTGAGAAAACCCTGAGTATACTATAGAGTTTTTCTTCTTTTGTTTTTTTCTTTCTTTCGAATATGAATAGCTGACACATGCAAGAAGAAAAATTGACAAAATAAGCATTTAAATGAAAACAAATATATATTGCTTTTTGACTTGAACCTTTATGAACAGAATGAAGTCATACCTTAATACAGATTGTCCCTGATTTTGAAACTGCTAATTCTTAAAACGTTAAGCTTTTAAAGGCACAATTAGCCAAATTTGTTTATATACATGAGCATGTGCTATTATAAATGAATGGAATGACGTAAAAAGAAAAAAAAACAGAAAATTCTTTGTTCCAATTTATTTGAATGCAACCTATAATTCTACAATATTATATATAACCTTTCAATAATGAATTTCCCTCTGTTATGAATTCGAATAAATTTAAATTTACTGTCTGACACAGAATTATTTGTGAATGAAAAAACATTAAAAAAAAAAAGAGAAAACATGGCTAAATTCTTTTAATGTCTTTATTAAAATTTTGAAGTTTTGTAAATGATTTTTGGATTTTAATTTTCTCATCATATAGTTATTTTTTTATTTCAATCCCACATTTGGAAGTGCAACTGAAAATAACACATTACAAATATTACTATAATTGTATGGTTCTAGTCCTTCCTGGATCAAATATGTACATGATTTATTTGCGATAAAGAAATATATATATGTAGGTTAATAACTATATGAACATTCAATATTTTATTTCAATGTGAAAATGTTTTACGAAATCCGATGTGTATTGTTTTGTGTGTGTGAATGCCATGCTGCCCAACAAGGGCCCTCGATTTGAACATTAAAAATTCTTTTTATTATTCGATATCTTTGAAATAATTTCATAAAATAATTACACATATTTACAAATGATTTTAGAACGTACACACCTTTTACAGTCCTATATCTATCCTAAGAAATCGCATCAAAATGATTTGAACACTTCAGAAAGTTGTAATACACATGTTCAGAAACTTTTAAAACTCATTGTTTCCTGTGGTCAAAACTAGAGACAAATGTTTTATACAGTTGTTAATCTTGAGATAAGTCGGATTGTAAACTTTCACATCCTTCTTGTCCTATGGATAATCATGGAACTATTATATTGAATATAATAGTTCCATGGGACAATGAACCATAACAGATGACTGTGATAAGGAGTCACCAGATTCACTACCCTTGAGAAATTAGGCAGCCTTCTATTACTCACTGTACATGACCAAAGATTTAATAATGACAGAAATTATTTAAAAGATTGCACACTCACTTTAATATTGTCAACAATTTATATGCTTATCAGACATAAAAACTTTCATTGTGTGACCCCCCCAGTCAAATAAAATTTTTGATGGCAACCCCCCCAGCTGTATGATATTTTTGGTAGTGACCCCCCCTAAAATGAACCAACCCCCTCAGCTGATAAATAATGACTTTTCCCTAAGACAATACATTATCTGTTCTGGGTTATTGATAAACTTTGTTTCACAGATATTATTATACGCCGCTGAAACAAATGTTTTAAGATGGAGGCAGTCTGTATGAAAATTTGTAAAAAAAAAGAAATTGTACAGATGCATGATCAGTCAAAAATAAAAAATACGTAAAACATTCTTCTTCAAATATTCCTCTGACAGAACAAGAGCTTGACAACAAAATTATTTTATTTGTATTTCAACATTGCGAAAACTTCAGAAAGAAGTGTTTGTGGATTTAATGATATGATTAAAATTAAAAAAAACAAAGGTCGATTTTGGCTCACATGACCGAATGACCATGTGAAATTTTGTCATTACTTTGCGTCCGTCACCGGTAAACTTTTCTTTAAAAAAATCTTCTCGTCTGAAACTGAACAATGGATTGAAATCAAAGTTTATTTGCTTCATCTATAGGATGTCTGCTATAAACTGTCTATTTTTTGTCCATTTTGATCAACTAACACGGCTACTGTGGAAAACAAATAGAACTTAGGTGTTTTGGATTATGTCTCGAAAATTATAGAAATTAGAGAAAATCCTTAGGGTAGACATTATCATCAAGACAAGATTTATCAACCGTGCACATTTTAGAAAAATGTGTCGACCCGTTTTGAGTAATTGCCCCTGAGATTTAGTTTTTTTTTTTTAAATTTTTATGGCAGTTCTTGGCTATTGTCTCGAAAACTATAGGAGCTAGTTTAAAAGTCTGAATTGCAAAATGGCCAGTAAGATAAGCCCTATTTACCCGAATACAATGCAGAAAAAAAACTGACCACCATATAGAGATATTAACCGTTTTTAACTATTATCTTGAACATTATAGGAGCAAGGTTAAAAACATAAATCGCAAAAATTATCAGCACAACAAGATCTAGTTACATATTTATTACCCATAAAATGTCGATTTTTAATGGATTTTTTTCTGGGCAGCTTATATTATAGCGGATTATATCAGCGATAGGTCACCTAAATTTGGTGTAAAAAGGATTGAATGTATATATGTCCGTCTCTCAGGTCCAACTGACCTTGACCTTATTTTCATGTTTCATTTGGTCAATTTCGCAGATACTATAAGCAATGGGTCAACTATGAATATAGAATGATTGTACATAGCTGTCTAGAAAGGTTCATCTGACCTTGACCTAATTTTCACGGATCACTGATATGTGAAGTTTAAGTGATGTCTGCAGTAAGACCTTGACCATAAAGAAACTTCATCATGACCAGTTAAGAAATCGATACTTTCCAGCATGTGCAATCTTGGTAGAATGATGTCTAATCTACATTCAACCCTCTAACCTCCAGTATAGTTCAGCAGGCATTTCCTCCGATTAGGCTTCCTGGAACACACCCTTTGAGGACTTTAGACATTTTTCGAATTAAGGGCACATAAATAGTTTGGTATCCAGCATATAGATGCAAATATTGATTTTACTGGTATGCAAAACGAAGACGACCCTTTGGTTATTATCACGCCAGTTTAAATGTATATTGCCTTATATAGGTTTAACATGTTAGGTTTTTAATTGTATGTTCAATCTAGTATCCAATCAGTTAATGTAATATTTGAATATTAAAGCAATATTGTTTGCAACCGGGACCCATCTATTAGGTTTTCTTAGTTCATTGGTCAATGCCAAGGCAATATGTGAATATATTGGGATGCATATTGATTAAAGGATGTAGTCAGATGAAATTAAAAAAATCTGGAATTTATAATTGATACTATTATTAGTAAGAAGAGCATTGGCATTATTTGGGCCTTGTATCGTTAGAAAAGAAATCTAGAATCTGCTTAAATTTTGGTAAATGACCTTTTGTGAGCTATTGAAGTCTTATATGAGAAGTAAATTGGGTATTATGGGGCAAAATATTTTACCCTGTATCGTAGGAAAAAACCCAAGGAGTCCGAATATCTGACAAAAATCCTAAACCGGCCTGACCTAACTATAAACTGGACCCCTGCTGTTGTTTCAATCTTATCTACAAAAAGTTTGTGTCGAAGTATCAATCAGCGGGTGGCCAGTTAAACCTAACTACATCCTTAAGGTGTACATGTTCGTCTAGCAGGATTTACTGACATTGACCTAATGTTGATGGTTCATTGGTCATTGTAAGGTTTTCATCATTATGTTCTTTTCTCAGATACTATCAGAACTAGGCCAGCTATATTTGGTAGGAAGAATGATTGTAAGGTGTAAATGTCTACGTGTCTGACAAGGTTCATTTGACCTTGACCTCATTATCATTGATCAACATTAAGTGTCATGATTGTCTGTTTTTTTTTCAGATCCTATAAGCGATAGGTCAGCTATATTTGGTTTATAGAACATCTTCTGTGAATTGTTGACATCTATCACGATTTTGAAGAGTACATGTCTATCTGTCAGGGTTCATCGGACCATGACCACGTTTTCATGGTTCATTAGTCGTCCTATTGCTTATAGTATACGAGAAGAGGACCAAACTATAGAAACTTAACATTGACCAATTGGTCGCTGCTGGATTGTAATCCCTATGTCTCACGTTGCAGGTCAGATAAAAAGCACTATCTACTAGGTAATACAAAGGTCTGGATACAAATGTCATCCTAACCGCTGACTTTCTCCATTAATCCATCCATATAAATGTATCCAAACAGGTGCTAAAAATGTGTTTAATCCAAAAATATATATATATAATTATTATGTCCTAGGATATATATACTGCCATTTTATTTGTAAAGGATTGTAAAATCAATAAGTTGTAAAAATACATAGGTATCAATTAAAATAATTCTAGACAGATTGTTAATAAAAAAATGTACAAAATGCTTTATCTTGTAGAATTGTCACAAATATAATATATAAATTGGTGATAACTTTAATAATTTAAGAGTAAAAAAAACAGAGGTTATGAAGAAGAGTATTGGGATTGAAGTATTAGAAATATTATCCCCAAGATATGCGTAAGTTCTGAAAGTTAGTAATTGACAAAAATCTATCATTTTTTTCCCAAAATACCCTTTTCGTCTACAAAATTATTTTATTCTTCATTTTACTAGTAAAAAAATACAAAGCTATGAAATATGAGTTAGGTCATATATCATATATATATAATTCATACTTTTACCCTACTTGTACCCAAAAAATATCTCATAAAATGTAAATAGACAGCAACTTGTACTGGATCTGAACCTACTTTTAATTTTTTACATAAAGAAATTGAACAATAAAGTTAGTATAAGCTGCTCTGACGGCCATTCCTTAAGGTAATTTTGTAACAGTTTGGATTACATTATGTCTAGCGCATAATACACTAGGAGTACAAGAGTCTTAACATGTACATAATGGACGTGGTTTGGGAACGTACTCTTGACGTTACATGGTATTAGCATAACTTTGGAAGGCTGTGTTATCTGGTTTGAAGGAGCGATTTGCCACCATTTCATGTGGAATGAAGTGGGCTTTCTGAGTTGACATGCCTTCAAATGGGGCATTGTTGAGATGGTATCTCTCTCTAGCAGACTGTTCCACTGCCTTGACTTGCCACTTTTTGTAGTTTAGTGAATAACTTGTTGTACCATCGAACGGTCCATTAGATACTTTTCCTGCATCTGTTGGTCTTATCATGGCATTTCTATCCAATGGCAATTGTCTATATGTTGATTTATTGGTAGTTTGCATGAACATATCACCTTCTGGTTTTTTGTAACCTTCCTGAACGTGAACATATGGCTTTGATGCTGGATATTTGATATAATCCTTACGGTTATTTGTTAAATCTTCTAATGGTTGACCTGATGAGAATGCTTGATTATCTGGCTTGAAACTTTTTGTAAGTTCACCAATTGGTCCCCTGTAATCTCTTTTAAATGTTGTGACACCATCGAAAGGTACACCTGGTGCTTTGTACTGCTCTCTTTCCCGTACAAATTTTGTCCCTAGAGCATGTGGTTGATAGGATTGCCTGTAACCGGTATTGTCAGCAAATGGTGCATCGGATAATTTTGTTTCCTCTTGGGGTTTTATTGATTGGCGAGGAGGCTCGGCATGTTTGATATAATCCTTACGATTAGTTGTTAAATCTTCTAATGGTTGACCGGACGAGAATGCTGGATTATTCGGCTTGAAGCTTTTTGTAAGTTCGCCAACTGATCCCCTGTAATCTCGTTTAAATGTTGAGACACCACCGAAAGGTACACCTGGTGCTTTGTACTGCTCTCTTTCCCGTACAAATTTTGTCCCTAGAGCATGTGGTTGATAGGATTGCCTGTAACCGGTATTGTCAGCAAATGGTGCATCGGATAATTTTGTTTCCTCTTGGGGTTTTATTGATTGGCGAGGAGGCTCGGCATGTTTGATATAATCCTTACGATTAGTTGTTAAATCTTCTAATGGTTGACCGGACGAGAATGCTGGATTATTCGGCTTGAAGCTTTTTGTAAGTTCGCCAACTGATCCCCTGTAATCTCGTTTAAATGTTGAGACACCACCGAAAGGTACACCTGGTGCTTTGTACTGCTCTCTTTCCCGTACAAATTTTGGCCCTAGGGCATGTGGTTGATAGGATTGCCTGTAGCCGGTATTGTCAGAAAATGGTGCATCGGATAATTTTGTTTCCTCTTGGGGTTTCATTGATTGGCGAGGAGGCTGGGCATATTTACGGTAATCATGATTCATAGTCGTCTCCCCTTCAAATCTGGCGATTGGTTGTACCCATGGATCCTTACTAATAAAAGGTCCATGACGACCACACATATCCCATTTCTTATAAGCATCTGAAATCATAAAGTAAATTAGATACTTATACCCGGTATATACTTGTGATTTTTTTTTTCAAATTAATTGGACAGAAATAGTATAAAACACACTGTAAAGTTCATTACTACGAGAGAACTAGTGAGTATGAAATGCAAATTGTCCAATTATCTTTAACATGATTTCTTCTGTCAACAAAATTTTTGGAGACATTTTTAAAGACATTGGCAGTTTACTCATTGTTAGTAAGTTAAATAGTTAATGCATACTTTTATATATTTGTAAAAATGTCAATCTGTATTTTTAGAATAAATCCATCTTTGAAAGAGACAACATGATTTGTATTAAATATTTCAGATCACTTTTTTTAAATCAATTCTAAAAGTGTCCATTACATTTACCTTTATAAGTTGGTTCCCCTTCAAATTTACCGCCTTGCAGCTTTTGACCATCATCTCGAATCTGTGTTGCAGGTGGCGCCATCTTCTCTGTATAAGATAACAAGGGATGATAATTTGAAACTTATATGTTGTGTTCAAATTTCTAGGATTAAAAAAATGAATGTCATTGTACAAAGTAAAAGTAAAGTAGATATATATATATATACATGTACTGAATAAGATCAAATGGTGAACAAGAAAATCTAGCTCATGAAAGGAACATCTTTATTGCTTTTCTTCATGCTGAATGTTAATAAAGGTTTTCTCTAATACCAAATCATAATACATTGTATATTGTACTACAAGATCTTGATGGTTTCCAACAGTTGTTATCATCAAGGACTGATAAAGTGTTGTTTAAACTTTTAGTGGTAAAACAATTACAGGGATAATTTTGCAAACCTATCATGAAGTGTAATTGCATGGCAGTATTATAGCTTAACTTTAAATTGATAATTAAAAAACATAAAATTCATTGATTAACAGGGCACTGTTGTGGCTTTTGTCCATCCAATACATCAAAATCAAAAAGGTAATCACTGCAGCAAACATCTAACTAGCTGCGGAACCGTAGCTCATAGGTCCTTATGATATTTTTTGACAATTTGCGGACCATCTAACGTAAGCAATGAAATGCCAAATGTGGACAAATGAACACATTTAGGAATAATTCGGTCAACAACTAAATCAAAATCAGATACACTCCATATAGAACAAAATATCACAAAACCACGTAGAACGGCCTATATGAAAATAAGGAGATGTGGTATGATTGCCAACGCGACAACTATATCCACCAAAGTTCAAATGAAGTGGATGTATAAGCATATAGTTTATTAGCAGCAGGTTTTCGTGGAAATAACGGTTTAGATCTAGTAACATCAATATCAATACAAATGTATATAAGACATATATCTAACCTGTATTGACGTATGGTCTAGAAGTATTACAACCAAGTTCAACAAATATGCAAAAATTAGAGCAGTTTCAAAAAGCAACATTAATTAAAGAAAATTCTGTCATTACCACCAAATACTTCAGATCCAGCAGTCTACATTATATCTGGTATACTTCCAATATAGGCACAAATAGATACAAAAAGTTTAACTTTGTTCAATAACATATGCTGACAAAGCAATAATTCAGTAGAAAAACAACTTGCATTTAGACAGCTTCTTGTTAAACCAGACAATAGTAATAGTTGGTAACTTGGTATATAGTCGTAAAGAAATTTCTATACAAATATGACTTTTCTAATATCATGCAATTTCTTGACAATCCACCGAAAAAATTTAAATGGAAAAATATGGTGCAGAAAAAAGTTGATTTGTATAAACTATTGGATCCATAGAACAATTTAGAACAGTAGATCTTATTCCTCTTTGACATATTTAAATTGTGATGTATTTTTACCGAGAAAATGTCATCCAATTATTGATCTTAATAATGACAATAACCCGTCAAAAGGTGCATTATCGATTGCGATCAAACTTAAACTAGTCACTGGAACTTTTATGACACAAAAGAACAAAAAGCAAGTCCCCTCTGTGTAAACTTTGTGACGATGAAGACGAAGAAATTGAACATCTATTACTAAAATGCAAGATTCTAGTCAGAGCCTATAAGGTGTCTTTTCATAAACCAAATTGAGGAAACTATCTTTAAAGATACGTACATTTCATTTAATGAACTGCCTACAACCATTCAGACACAATTGATTACGGATTGTACCGAATTCAAACATCAGAACACATATATAGTATTAGATAGAAATACGGAACAAAACTGTGAATTATTATCCAGAAAACTGTGCTATGCACTGCACACTATAAGAGTCAGAATCATCAATTTTCAGAAAAAAAACAATCAAAAATAAGATGATTAATCTTGCATATATAATGATTATCCCCGTTACTACAAAATTATAGATTAATTTACCATATACAGACTTGTAAATAAACTGTATATAATTGTACATGATATTCAAGTTGGTGGAGAGTTTTAATATTGATTACAGTCATATGCACTTCTAGAGTGTCGGAAGTACGCACCAGCGTACACATAAATTTAGGAGAAAAAAATGAATTTGATCTAGATAAATTAAAAGAACTGGTTAAAAACACACGAGTTTTGTAATTCTTTCTTCAATGACTTGTAATTGAAGATAAAAGTGACAAAATCTACTTTTTATCAAATGGTATCATATTATATATTTGTTCATTTTCTGCCAAAGTATAAATCTACTGTGAATTCTACTCAGTTTCCTATGTAAACCAAATGACAGATGAAATTTCATCCAGAAAAATGCACCGTTATTCGCATTAGCACCAGCATTAAATTCAAAAGAGAAACACGAAAAATTACACGACCACACACTCGAAACTGTACTAACCAGCAAATAACTAGGAGTACATTTCAGCGAGGACTTACAATGGAAACATTATGTTGACGTTACTGTCAAAAAAAGCATCCAAACCATCGGATTCCTTAGACGAAACATAAGAGAATGCAGTAAAAACGTAAGAATTGCAGCTTATATATCTCTGGTAAGACCAACTTTGGAATATGCAAGTGGGGCATTGGACCCTCATACCATCGAGGACGTAAATCGACTAGAGCAAGTACAAAGGAGGGGTGCTAGGTAACAAACAACTATACAGACAAAACACCTTGATGTGTCACAAAAATGATCAAGTCACTAGGTTGGGAAGCACTAGCTTCCAGATGAAGTAACCATCGACTCGTCAGACTTTACAAGATATCCAGCATGGGCTAGTGGACATTGATGCCAGTTACATCTTACGCCAAAACGATCGACGTACCAAACAACGTCTATACCAACCACCGGCAAACCAGATAATTTATAAGTACTCATACTTCCCTCGGACTACAACTATGGAACCACCTTCCACCAGCTAGCAAAGTGTACATAGTTTTAATTATCTAGGAACGTTTTATCTGTAAATAGTTAGAGGAGAATTTCTGTCTCCTTCTCCTTCTAGTGGACTAATTACATTCCAACAGGAATCCAGTCACAGAAGAAGAAGTTGTTAAAAGCAATTCATTACCCGGTATGTGCTGAGATACGCTATGTGGTTGTAATTTTAGTCGATCGAGCCTGCGACATTTATGTCGCGAATACGAGACTTAGCGATCATAGATTCCGTCGGCTTCGGCGTCGTCAACATTTAGGTTTATTCTGCGGTTAAAGTTTTTTTTTAAACATCAATAACTTTTAGTATTTTTTACATGATACATTTGTAAACCTTCATAGATTGTAAATAATGGTCTCTGGTAGCATTGATCCCAGCATCAAGGTTGTCTATAATTAAGATTACAATTCAAATTTTGAACTATATATGTAATATGTATAATTTAATTTGATTTTTTTTTATTGTTGTAGTAATATCAAAATAAGAAGATGTGGCATGATTGCCAATGAGACAACTCTCCACAAGAGACCAAATGACAGAGAAATTAACAACTATAGGTCATCGTACGGCCTTCAACAATGAGAAGCCTTTTCTTCCTCATTACTTTTCATATTATTTAGTCTATAATAGTATTTTTTTTGTTTTCAGGAGAGTCATCCAAACCCCCGTGGCAAGGAAGTGGTTATCGTATATGAGTAACAATATTTAGTGTAAGACATCAGTTTTATATAAATGCTCATGTTATCCAAAACTTACTTGTAAAATCTTTATTATAAGATGTTATACCCTCCATTGCACCATCAGGTCTTTGGTACTGATCTGGTATCCTTACAAATGGCTTCTCCAAGGGATGCTTGATGTAATTTTGTCTGCAAATTGAATCATATTCAAACAGCTGATTCACTAACTAACAGTATTATGCCGTCAACGGTCTGTGACGTCGCAGTTTCCGCGAACTGGAAACGATTATGAGAGTTATTCCTCTTTGATCTGAAGGAGAATGACAATCGTTTAACAAGATTGATTTGCCGAAAAGAAAATGAAATGTTCCTCGGATTATTGACGTGTTCCTAAATTGGAAAAAAAAATGTTTTGTTTGTTTCGTTATTGTGGAAGAACAAAACAATTAAGGAAACATAATTAAAATATGCATATAAAAAAGAAGTATACAAAGTATACCAAGAAAAAATAGAAAGAAAAAGGAACAAAATTACGAAAAAGCAAATAAAGAAATGTCTCAAGAGGAGGTGGTTTATATGGTGTTTGATTTGTTGTATATAAATCATTGGGATTGTATAGAGGCTTAATAGTATTGAGATGTGCTAAAAATGATGTTCATGTCTTCTTTTTGTCTTAAAGTGACTGTAAATCATATATACGAAATCAAAGCTGTGGCCAACAGATAAATTATAATATATATATATATATATATAGTAGTCCAAGATTACGGTGACAATATGATTGACATTCATAGCCTCGTAAATTCTAAATCGATGGCAAGAAAGGTTGTGTTCCATAGTTAATCAACTCAAGTTGACTTTCGATTGTTATACTTAGTCAAGGTAAGAGATGACTGACGTTAATTATCTTATCACATAATTGCAGATTTTAATATTATGTATATTAGCACATGTATATAATTACTGCAAAGTGCAGACATGTATAATATATTACAGCTCAGACTAGACAATTTTTTTTTCTTTTTGCTTTTCAACGTTCTTAATAAAAGAAAGATATTTATCTGTAAATGATTTTATATTTCCATGTGTTGTCCATTATTAGTTCTTCAGACAAAAGATATTTGAGACAATTTTATCCACCCATGCTTATAGTGCGTCATAGGCTGAACACAAATCAAACGTTAGATGATAAGTATAGTACGATTATGTAATAAAAGGAAAGAGAAACAATGAACAGATTGGGTGGGATAAGTTTGAACGGCAGCAAAATGTGTATACATAGTTTTGGTCCTAACATAATTATATCATAATCAAAAGAAAAATGTAGCTTGATAATTTGCAAACCGGAAGGGTGATGGTATACTCAACAACTAGAACAATATTGTTTTATAAAGTCCACATTTTGAAATGATTTTTATTTTGATAGATGATCATAGATGGAGAGGAGCTGCAAATTTCGACTGGTATTTTCAATGGATTTTTATATTGAATACGTTAAAAATAAAATAATCATAATTTATATTTTTAACTGGTTTAGCAAAATCTGTGTATCTGCGAGTATATATGTTTGTTTGTTTGTAAGTTACATTGTTGATGTTTAACGCCACTTTCCGCGACATTGTCTTTATCATGGTGGTAAGTTTCAGGTAGAGGACACTGGGGATAACCACCCGGACCTTCTGCAGGAAAACTGGTTATTATGCTGCCGCGGTGTGCACTACTTCTATGATTTGGTAAGCTTTCAGTAAAGAATTATCCATATTCCTGATACATAAATGAATCAAATTTCCGGTGTATACAAAAATGACATTCAGGCCATCACCGGAGTAAGGCGATAAGTTCAAGGATTATTTGTACATATGTCAATATCAGATAGAGTGTCAGTTCTATTCTATATTATTCAAATTTTCTAAAATATAAGAATCAGATATCTGTAAAAACTACATGTTAACAATATCCAAGAACTTAATATTTAAGATCCCTGCTTTATTTTAAAAATATTCCATGTCTCGTATGGTGGATTCTCGTTTGCGTAACGCCCAGTGGCAAGTATTTCATCCCATACCTCGTAACGCCTAAACCAGTCTAACGTTAGCTTTAGTCCTAACCTATTTTTATTTATTTCAACTGAAATGTGACCGTATGAATTTAGATCTTTCTTTTTATATGAATCATACGAAGAGCATAAGTCAGTAACAAACCACACAAAAACAAAAATACATCTAGATGTCAATACATTCATGTATCCCTATATTACAATGTTAATGATGAGAGATATTACTTCTCGACCATGTATCTCTATATTACAATGATATTACTTCTCCGCCATGTATCTCTATATTACATTGTTCTCCACCATGTATTTCTATATTACAATGTTAATGATATGAGATATTACGTCTCCACCATGTACGTCTCCACCATATTACAATGTTAATGATAAGAGATATTACTTCTCCACCATGTATCTCTATATTACAATGTTAATGATGAGAGATATTACTTCTCCACCATGTATCTCTATATTACAATGTTAATGATGAGAGATATGACTTCTCCACCATGTATCTCTATATTACAATGTTAATGATAAGAGATAATACTTCTCCACCATGTATCTCTATATTACAATGTTAATGATATGAGATATTACTTCTCCACCATGTACCTCTATATTACAATGTTAATGATAAGAGATATTACTTCTCCACCATGTAAATCTATATTACAATGTTAATGGTAAGAAATATTACTTCTCCACCATGTATCTCTATATTACAATGTTAATGATATGAGATATTACTTCTCCACCATGTATCTCTATATTACAATGTTAATGGTAAGAGATATTACTTCTCCACCATGTATCTCTATATTACAATGTTAATGATATGAGATATTACGTCTCCACCATGTATCTCTATATTACAATGTTAATGATATGAGATATTACGTCTCCACCATATATCTCTATATTACAATGTTAATGATGGGAGATATTACTTCTCCACCATGTATCTCTATATTACAATGTTAATGGTAAGATATATTACTTCTCCACCATGTATCCCTATATTACAATGTTAATGGTAAGAGAGATTACTTCTCCGCCATGTATCCCTATATTACAATGTTAATGATATGAGATATAACTTCTCCACCATGTATCTCTATATTACAATGTTAATGATATGAGATATTACTTCTCCACCATGTATCTCTATATTACAATGTTAATGGTAAGAGATATTACTTCTCCACCATGTATCTCTATATTACAATGTTAATGATATGAGATATAACTTCTCCACCATGTATCTCTATATTACAATGTTAATGGTAAGATATATTACTTCTCCACCATGTATCTCTATATTACAATGTTAATGGTAAGGGATATGACTTCTCCACCATGTATCTCTATATTACAATGTTAATGGTAAGAGATATTAATTCTCCACCATGTATCTCTATATTACAATGTTAATGATATGAGATATAACTTCTCCACCATGTATCTCTATATTACAATGTTAATGGTAAGATATATTACTTCTCCACCATGTATCTCTATATTACAATGTTAATGGTAAGGGATATGACTTCTCCACCATGTATCTCTATATTACAATGTTAATGATGAGAGATATTACTTCTCCACCATGTATCCCTATATTACAATGTTAATGATAAGAGATATTACTTCTCCGCCATGTATCCCTATATTACAATGTTAATGATATGAGATATTACTTCTCCACCATGTATCTCTATATTACAATGTTAATGATATGAGATATTACTTCTCCACCATGTATCTCTATATTACAATGTTAATGATGAGAGATATTACTTCTCCCCATGTATCTCTATATTACAATGTTAATGGTAAGAGATATTACTTCTCCACCATGTATCTCTATATTACAATGTTAATGATAAGAGATAGTACTTCTCCACCATGTAAACATCTGATTTAAGATCTTTCTTTACTACAACAATCATGGTCTGGCATGATTACATTATCTGTTGGATTTATCGTACTTTTAATGGATGTGGTAAATGCAATTCATATATAACATTAACTATTTGTTTTATTGTCCAACAAAATTGATACTCTGCTGCTGCTCAGCTAAGGTCAAATACAATTTAATCTAAAGAAACTGAACACTGCATGGTTACCAATTACAGGGTTTAATAAAAAGACAGTGCTTAAGCTTTTTCCAACTAATTTTTCAAAGATAGTTTGTTCTTATTTTGTGCTGTAATACCACTGTTCCAGGTTAGGCGGAGGAGTGGGCGCGAGCAAGCATGTTTAACTGCACGACATTCTATATGTGCTTGTCCCAAGTCAGGAGCATGTAATTTAGTGGTTGTTTTTTGTTGCTGTATATCATATTTGTTTTTCGATTATTGTTTTGTACACAAACCAGGCCATTAGTTTTCTCGTCTGAATTGTTTTACATTTTTCATTTCGGGGCCTTTAATAGCTAGCTGTGCAGTATGGTTTTTGCTCACACGTACGGTGACCTATGGTTGCTAACTTCTACGTTATTTGATATCTGACGGAGAATTGTCTCATTGGCAATCATACCACATCTTCTTATTTCTTTATATATATATTACCAGTAAAACTTTAATAAAAGAAAACTGGACAATGGCCACCAGTAAAACTTAACTATTATATAATAAAACTAACAGGCTATGATGTAATAAGCTGCACAGGCATGAGTGGTTATCATTTTAATCATCAAAAAGTCCGATCTGGTTAGAATCAGATTGCCAAAAGTCTTTACCACAAGGACTTAGTTTAAGGGCATACGATACAGTTACAGTGGAGGTAATGACGTTGCCAACGTAAAATGTTATTTTTCGCGACGTCAAACTGCGACATATCGGGAAAAGATGCATTTTTCGACTTATTTTTATCAAGTTCAGACTGATCATATAACTTGAAAACGAGTTCATGGACCCCTCTTTCTTAAAATGACATTAGGATTGATTACGTATGAAGATTATTTGTACCAATTTTTATGAAAAAGTCACCGATAAGATTTTTTTAAATTAGATAAGTATACAGCAAAAAATTCCGTTTTTTTCCTAAAATCCTGAAACTTTGATAAAAATTAATTATTTCCAAAGAATTGTTATAAAAATTTAGAGCATATATACTTATGTAAAAGAGATTTTCCAAATATTTTTACAAAAATCCTATTGTGTTAATCTTTCAAGTGAAACAAAAAAGTTAGGTAATTGTATTATATGTCTCTGGTCTATCCAAAGGATAGAAATGTTCCAAAAAACGAAGTTTTGAGTAAATGTCTAAAATTTCGACCCATTTATCTCTTAAAGTAGCACATGAAGGTATATTTTTATTACATATTTGCATTGACTAGGTGAAAAATAGCTTGTTTTCAAATTTTCGTAAAAAAATCACCGTGGGATGAAAACTGTTACGTATGCCCTTAATGAATATAAAACACAAATCTCATTAAAATAACAAATGCCATGAATAAAAAAGAGATTAAAAAAACACACACACACTAAAAAAAAGCAGTCTATCTTGATATCTGATATCACATTTATGTCCCTCTTATTCTCATATTTAAAATGCGATGCTTTCAAACATTTTTATTTTCATCACAAACGAAGGAATTGTGAAACTGGAAGACATATAAAATTTTAAACAAGCACAACCTTTTTGACTGGTCCAGCTTATATGCAAGATCAATACAGATTGAAAGGAAAAATGATTTAACATCGATCAAGGGCACCAGTCTAAACTTTATAACTGGTGCCAAAAAGTAATATATTTTAAGAAACCAGATGATAAGAATAAAATTTCGGACGACCTTTGACTTTTAGCCTCCTCACCTACTTTCTTAACGGAAGTAAATGATTTTCATTCATAACGAAACATGTTGCTCATTGAAGTGAAAAGTTTTGATGTATTTACAGCTAGACAGAATAAGAATGGATAAAATTTACCTAACTTTCTCGTAATGATACGGTAATTGTAATTTTCTTCTTTCATTTTCAAAGTGAAAACTTTATAACTTCATTAATTTATTACAATTTCTCAAAGAACATGAATGTTTGTGAAAGTTTTGCTATGCATAGTAATGAATACACAGAAAGTTTGTTAAGCCGTCTGTGAACCTATCGACCTTTTAATCAGGCGATTAACGTACGATAACCACATCACAACAATGGGGTATTAACTTGCTATTTTTTATCTAATGATTTATAACTATTTTGTTGATAAAGTGATTATGTAAGGGTAAATAATAAAATAAAGATGATTAAAGAACTAAGTTAATTATTTTATCTTCTGAGAACATATGACATGATATAGGCCTATTTGGAATGTTTTTCTTGACAGAGTTGGTCTTGGGGAATGTGGACCATGGCTAAAAAGAATGGACTAAGAAGACAACATTTTGCCGGAATTGTGTTAGGATTATGCTTTGGAATAATTTTATCATCTTGGTGTAGACATAAGATATTACCTTGTGCGCCATTGGCAGGTAAATGTTGTCGCACAATCCATGTAAACTATCATGTCAACATTGCCGTTGATCACCTCGAATTTCACAATAACCATGCTTTACCAGAAGTTGTGGTAAAGAAATCAAATGAAGGCTTAGATTTAAACAGTTACATCAACAAAAATGACAAAAATTTCCTTCTTATTGGTGTGATTACAGCAAAAAAATATCTTGATACCAGAGCCGTTGCTGCATTTAATACTTGGACCAATTCTTGTAGCGGATCCTGCAAAGTAATCTTTTTCTCCAGTGAAGGATCAACAACTGAAAAAGAAATTCCACTGGTTAGTTTAGACGGTACTGATGATTCCTATCCACCTCAGAGAAAGTCTCTTTTGATGTTGAAATACATGCATGATAACTATATTAACAACTTTGAGTGGTTCATGCGTGCTGATGACGATGTTTTTGTTAAAGGGGACAAAATTGAAAAATTTCTACGCTCTGTAAACAGCTCGGTTCCCCATTTCATTGGTCAAGCTGGTTTAGGAAAAAAAGAAGAAATAGGGAAACTTTTTTTGAACAGACATGAAAACTTTTGCATGGGAGGTCCTGGAATTCTGTTCAGCCACACTACTTTAAGGCATGTTGGCCCACATGTACACAATTGTATTGACAACTTGCTGACGACTCATGAAGATGTTGAAGTTGGTAGATGTGTACGTAGATATACTGGTTCATCCTGCACCTGGGCATTTGAGGTTGGTATATATACATTGTAACCAAGGCCTTTAATTTCCCTTGACCTGGTGTGTTGTAAAACATGTATGTATATATATAAACAAGTCTAAATTGAAAACAATGTTCAAACCTATGATTGCGTTGGATAAAAACCGCAATTTTTATACGTGTGCATGCAAAACAAATTTCTTGGTAGAGGGGTCTAACATATTGTATCTTCATTGTATTCCCTACTTTAATATCATTCACTAAATATTATCTTATAAATGTCTGTTTAACTCAAGAGACCTTTTTAGCTGACTGGTTAATTTTCAGCATGTAATAAAGAGATGGACATGTACATGTATAATACACTACCATCAATGCTTTTAATCTTAGTTGTCAAGATGTCTGTTAAGTTGAAATTTTATTATATGATTTTTAAACGTTTGTACAAAAATTTGAATACACCTTATACATTTTGTACTTTTGAATGTATATTTTGTAAACAAGTCAATTTACACAGCGTTCAGAAAGAACGTTTTAATTGTGGCCCTTAACTAGGAATTGTATGTAAAAATAAAAATTGTCCATTTGATAAGGGGAAATAACCTTTTAATTTAATTTATCACTTAAGTCAAGAATGACTGTTACTTTAACAATTACATATATACATGAACAATGTACAAACATATGTTAGATAATTGACAGGTGCTTGTATGTATAAATGTATTTTTACATATTTTCTCATTAGGAATACCAAAAATAGATTTCCAATTCTACATGTGTCCCATACAAATTAATCACCTGTATGTGGTTACAAGTTGGACCCTCGTGTACTGTATCTAATCATGTCTATAATACATTGTAATGGGTTCATTGGACCCACTAGTACCGTATCTCTATTGTATCTACAATACATTGTAATGGGTTCCTTGTTCTGATTGATTCATGAGAAGATGCAGAATGTTAATTACATAATACATTGTAAAAATATTTTCTTTATTACTACAAACAATAAGTTGCTAATTGATCATCAAAACATCATCATTCATTAACTTCTCAAATAATGATTCAACTTCAATTAACTTTGAAATTTGCAGACAGACCCTATTTAGACAGACTTCTCAAAAGAACATATGTCTGACTAACAGAGAAATATATTGTTAGTTTTGTGGATAATATTTTTCAGACATTTGGTTAGACATGTATTTTCGTTGTAAAAATTGTGTGTGAATAAATTAAATTTTATGTCACTGAGTGAGAAAAACTTCAAGAAAACTGCTGGAGTATACCAATTATTACACTTAATTTTTTCATAGTGATGTGATGATTTTTTAGACCAAACTCAGAATATGTAAAATTTGAATTAGTCAAAACTGGGAAATATTTCCTTTTGGACCCCTCTTAATGAAGAAATAAGCATTGATATACAATGTACATGAAATGGGATTCAAAGGGAAGTCTTGCCTAAAACTAAACATGCGAGGGATTTCAACTAGTGAACTGCTAACTCATCATTTCAAAATGGTTTTAACTTCTAACTTAGAATAGCTCTTCTTACGGCATAAAAAATGCATTGGTTTAGGCTAACCCTTCCTACATTTTTTTGTACCTCAATTGTTAGTGCCTATCCTAAAGATTTTTTGTAGTTTCTGAACAAGCACTTTTAAAGTCAAACTGTTTTCCCCTGTTTAAACCAGTCACAAACTTTTTGAAAAATTAAAATTATTTTCCAACCTACCTACCCTTTTTCTTTCAACACAGGTATTATTTTATTAGACCTAAGGTATGTGAATCAGTTAATGGTATTAGTACATGTCCTCCATACATATACATGGTGGTTCAATTAATAATAATTCTATATGATTTTGAGTGTTTTCCTTGTTAAATACATGTAGGGTATTTGAAGGTGATAACATTGATCTATGACCCTAGCTGTCATATATATTGCTTAGCCTTATAGAATATGCAGAGATATTTCAAAGTGATTCACTGACAATCACAATCACAATCACCAACATTCACTGTAACAAATCGCTACAAAGAGTGATATTTAATTGAATGACCCCACAATCACCAACATTCACTGTAACAAATCGCTACAAAGAGTGATATTTAATTGAATGACCCCACAATCACTAAAAAATCACCACCAAGAGTGATATTTAATGGAAACACCCACAATCATTGTAACAAATCACCACTAAGAGAATTATTTAATTAAATGACCCAAAATCCCTGTAAAAAATCACCAAGAGCATGAATATTTAATTGAATGACCCACAATCACTGTAAAAAATCTCCACCAAGAGTGATATTTAATGGAAACGCCCACAATCACTGTAACAAATCACCACTAAGAGTAATACTTAATTGAGTGACCCACAATCAATGTAAAAAAATCACCACCAAGCTTAAGAGTGATATTTAATTGAAACACCCACAATCACTGTAAAAAATCACAGCCAAGAGTGATATTTAATTGAGTGACCCACAACCACTGGAAAAAATCACCACCAAGAGTGATATTTAATTGAGTGACCCACAATCAATGTAAAAAAATCACCACCAAGATTGATATTTAATTGAAACACCCACAATCACTGTAAAAAATCACAACCAAATGATATATGGCGTTGTGAATTTGTCTTCGACTTATGAGTTTGTCAATATCCTTTTGATATCTTTTGCCTCTCATTTAAGTTAACTGAATCACTGTCTGTCTGTTTGTACTGTACTTGCAAGAACTCTTTGTTTGGAACATCTTTTTTGAACGATTATGTGCCTCATTAGAGTGAATAAGCCCTTCAAAAGAGCTAAGGCATATTTGAACAATGGAAAACCTGTAAATCACTTTTCACATGCACATGATTCACAGTTATTGTTATTTTTTTAAAACTTTTTCTGCAAATTAAATGTCAATTTCTCATAGGATCGAAAAGCTAAATGCACTGATTTGAATTTGATCTTTTATAATTCATTTGTATTTTATAAAACATCACACTAGCATCAATAAAAAAAGTGTAATTTTATCAATTTGATACAGCTAGGTTAAAATTATTGTATAATTTGTAAATGATACGCGTATAAGCATATAAATACATTATACTGTTGCGTTACAATTAGGTCTGGTCTTGCAATGTGCAGTGAGGAGATGAAATGTCAGACATCTATTTGTCTATGTCTCTCTTTCTTTCACAGGCTTGAAAGTTCACGCTCTTAGTTTTGATTGGATTATTAAAGTTTAAAAATATGCTTCTTTTAGCATGTTGAGCATGTTTAGGGTTTAATCTATATATTTTGGGAAAGGTCCTCATTATTAGAATAAGGAGATGTGATATTTTTACGAATTACGAATATTTTATTCTCATAAACATGTTACAGAGAAATTAGTATACAATCAGCTATTTCATTTGAGTCACATACATTACAGGTTCTTTTGTCTCTATGAATTTAATGCAATCTGACCAATTCAATGGGCAAATGATGACAGCCACATATTTACATCTGAACTTATATAAAAAATACATTAGATATGAGGGTAGTACATGTACATGTATCAACAAATAACGCTCAAAACAAAACTCATTATTAAATATTCTATAACAAATTGTTTTACTTGAATTAAAAATGTCAGATGACCATTCTTGCTTAAGTTGGTCTTTAAGTCAAAGTTCTACACAGTTTTCTATCCAATCTGAGGGAAAATGAGATTGGGATCTCCATACTTTTGATAGACCACAATTATCAAAAACACTTTTAACAAATTTCAATGTGATGTGATGTCCAGTGAAACAACTATCCTAAAGAGTTCAAATGAAGTGGATGTAAACAATTAGGCCTTTTTGGGAAGATTTTGCTAAAAGTGTATTTACCTTACGACAAACCATCTAATACATTTAAAATACATACATGTCCTGTATTATGTGAAAATAACTTTGGACAATGATTTGTCCATCCCTAAGATTTGAATTGATAATGAAGTCTTGAAAATATCCCCAGGTTAAAGAAAATATTCATGAAGTATTTATTTATTTTAAACATTGTTAAAAGTGTCATTTTGTCAGGGGGCATTAAGAGGTCATTAGAAATTGAGTGGATTTATATTTGCTTGTACCATGTGTACCAATAGACAATTTCTGAAGAGCAATTAAATATAGTTTTTCATATTTCCATTACTATGAAAATCTGGACTTGAAGCTTAAAGAAGGGGTTAAATTATATTGCAAATTTAGTTTATTTGACACCTTTGTCTAGAAAAGTTCTGATTTCCAAACTTTTTCATATTTGAAAACTTAATACATTGTTAGAGTTATATTAACAGATCCCTTCTTGAGTAATTTCAGGTAAAAAGTTTATTATTTGATGTTAAAATGATTTTTTGATGGACACTGCATTAATATGGTGGGGCCTCGGTGGCCGAGTGGTCTAAGTAGTTACTACTGTAATCACTAGCCAGTCAACACTGAGGTTGTGAGTTCGAACCCCCCTCGTGCGGGTGCACTCGACTCCAATCTTAATTGACTAGGATTGTCAGTTCTCCTATGGAAGGTCAGTGGTTTTCTACGGGCACTCCGGCTTCCTCCACCAATAAAAACTGGCCGCCACGAAATAGCCCAAAAGCAGTGCTTAAAAGTGGCGTTAAAACAACAAAAATCAAATCAAATCATTAATATGGTGATGAAAGTTGAGAAACTATGGAATCAGAGTTCAAAAAGTGGATCACAAATGCAAGAAAGAATTAAAATAGTTTGAAACACATGTAAATTAATCATGTTAATTGAGATGTTAGGTAATCTTTGATGAGACAGCACTAGTACTCTAACAATACAATTGGAAATCAACTGATTATTGTTGGATGTGAATGAGAAAACAAGTATACTGAGAACTAACATCTAGGGCACACTGTTCATAAGTATGAAAACAGTGTCCAGGCAAGAACTTCTTTACAGAAGAGTGGGTCATTAAAAGACCTTTTTAAATAGATCTCTGATGTGTCCACGTTCTGTTAAGAAGCCATACACCTTATCGATATTTG